TAGACGGGTAATAACGTGTTAGTTATGTGTTGTTTTTTAAAGACTTTACATCCTTGATGGGCTAAGTTTCCTTTGTCCTACTGATCTTTCTGATTTCTCTTTGGAAAAAGCATCATTTCAGACCATCTCGGGCCCCAGTAAATTCTATGAGGAGACAGTCAGGTACAGACAAAAGCTGCTTTGCATGCTTCCTGATCAGTCTGCTGGGGCAGTTTTCTGTGTGCCAGGGGTTGGCAACGTGTCAGCATTGCACTGTCTTTTTTTTTTTTTTTAATGGAAGCAAACGCATCTGGATGTGGCTTTCAATCTGGCAGTATTCTGCACCTATAAAAGGAGTAAGTCAAGGGTTTGAGATCTTACCCTGCTGTTGTTACTAAGGTAGTTCTTGCACCTTCCACTTTCTCTTGTACTTTTCTGGAAGTTACTTTACTTGTACTTTTGAATCCCTGTTTATCAAGATCATGCCAGTGCGTTTGCTTTCTCTGGTATATTCAGATTATCTGTCAAGTTACTGTGTACAGTCAGGTTTTGGTTCTGCTTGTGAATTAACTCTGCAAAAATTAAGTTGGTTGCCCGTATTTTTAAACCAAAATTTGGTCTCCACAAATGCAGAAATCCTTGCATAGGGACAGTACATGTTGGATGTCACTGTACAGTGCTGGGATGGAGCAAGTAATCCCAGCCAGACCAGTCTGGCAACAAGAGAGCTACTGAGCATCTGTGTGTTGCTCTTTTGAAGGCTTTATATTCTGAGAGCTTTGTCAGCTTGTGTGCAGTATGGCATGAATACACAGAGCAGGTCTTAATCTAATGCTGAATATGAGTCACTCAGACCTTTCAGAAAACAGGCAACTAGCACATCATGAAGCTGTAACTTTTGCAAAACCCACAGGGTTTTCCTCCCCATGAATTAGGCAAGAAGTGCCTGCATTTCAGTGCCGAATTTAAATCCAGCATGGGGACTCACCTTTCCAGGGGGAGACTGGGATATACATATTAGAAAACAAAAGCCAAGTTTAAAAAAAGCACCAAAAACTTCCATAAAGGAAAAAATAGAAGAAACAACAATGTGGATTTTTTCACTCTGAGTAAATAGAGTTCAGCTGCTGACAGTATCATGCTGAAGGGTGCAAATGATGCATTTTGTCTGTTGGGACTGGCTGGCTTTAGGAAGGTGAAGGGGTTGCCAAGCCATTCAGGAGTTATTAGAGATCATGTTCTTCATCATAAAGTTAAGGCACTTAATTGCAACGTACTGACCAAATACTGCTATGGGAAATGAGACCTTGTCTCTGCTCAACAGATTGCTGCTTTAAGGATCATCAGCTGCTGCACTTGTTCTCCCCACTTCATCAGTAGTTGTGACTTTGACCACCTTGTTCCCCTCTCCTAGAAATGTCTCTGCCTTCTTTGACTACATCCATAAATGCCCTTCTCTGTCTAACCTGTAGTGCTAGAATTCATCTTTTGCATGGGATTAACACAGCTGACTTTAACAAGCTTCAGGAAGGCAACTAACATAGGTACAAAGTATATAAGCAAAGAGTTTCTTACCTAGAATTTTTGGAAGTGTGTACAATAACCTCTCAAAGGAATATTAGGTTGGGAGTATATTCCTGAATTTATTTGCGATAAAAGTATATTAGAAATATTTGGAAAGTGTCAGCATAAATGACAGACAATTTTCATGTTTTTCTTCCTGATGCTAAAAACTAGTTTCAATTTTCTAGCTAAGGAAAAAAATAACATTTTTCACAAATGTTGTGCTTGAGCATTTCAACATCTACCCTCTTCCTTCTTATTTCTAGTTCCCTCTTAGGTAAGAGGAAGAGTATAAGGATCATTACGCGTCAGCCCAACCTACTGCTTCATTCTGCTGCTCCACAATGTAGCCTGAATTGGGCTCCAACTCCTCATCTGATGCTCTCACACTCTCTCACCTAGTGCCTCAGGGGAAGAAGTACAAAGCTATATATCCAAATATAACAAACAAATGTATCCAAGAACGTGACTCCGCCTTTAAACCAACTATGGAACCTGATTGCTGATGACTCTTTATGCCCTTCCTGAGATGTGTCTGCAGCATTAACCAAGCTTTTTGTGATCCCTTACTTTGCTTGTCTTCTTTTTCATTGGAAACACCTCAGTGCTATTAAGACGTAGGAAAACAAAACTATGATGTTTCTTTCGGTTTGATTTAATGCATATTTTTCTTACCTGTCACAAAACCTCACAAACAGTTCAGGCAATAGTGCTATTTTTGAGAGGCTGAGTGCTAGAACGTGACAGAAGGCCACAGGAAGTGCTGGGTCATATTAGCCTAGCATTGTTTCCAAACTAAGATGTCCCACCAAAGTCTCAACTGTCAGACATTGCTGCTGCCCTGCAAGTGCTGGCAGAGGTGTCAGCCTGAAGAGCTTCCCCGTGCATGACTTGAGGCAGGCAATGAGGCTGGCATGTGCCATCCCAACACTGACAGACTTGGAACCAAGGCAACCAGAAGGCAAAGGTGGATCCAATCACTCTACTGGGAACTTCCCTGGTCAGTGCAGGGTATGTGCACACTGTCTGTGGCCTGAAGACCACCTTTGCTGGGCTCTAGGCAGACAGCACATCTGGACTGAAATGTGTCAAAGAAAACCTTTAGCACTTGCTGCAGAGCAGCAAACTGGGGAGGACACAGACAGCACCTGCAGGGTGATTCCAGTTCCATACTGTCCTGAAGAAGTATCCATGTTCCAATGTTTTATGTGCAACCCTTCAGCTCAAGAATCAAAAAGACTAAAGATTCCATGGTAATTAGTAATCTCTGGAGTCATACAGATCTGTAATAACTACCTGCAGATCAAAGACATTACATGTTTAGCATATTTTAATATCAAGACAGAAATTAAGATTGTAATTTCTGTACTTGAAGTCTTGAAATTAGTATTTGGAAGAGGCCAGTGTATTCTATTTATCTGATTGAATACAGCCAATTTCTGAATGAAGTTTCACATCCAGGTATACACTCCAAGTTTTGATACCAGCTAGCCAGGATACAAAAGTTGCTGTGGGATTTTGTAGGTCCCTGTAGGATGAATGAGACTCTGAAGGCCCACCGTGTACACTTCTACCCATGAGCAGTCCCATGTACAGGGGGAGAGAGTGCTGTAAAAAGAAGAAAACTACGAGTGTTAGAATACCAACCTTATCTTCAGCCATTGCTGGCATTGCTGCTTCTTGTGAAGTAAGTTACTATTTTGATTGTGCGGAAACCACACCTTGAGAAGTAAAAATAGTGAAAATATTCCTTAAAATGTTTCCTTTTGCAAGTCTCAGTCCTTGAACCAGAGTAACCACATACTTCAGATCCATTTGTCCTTGATTTTTTTTCTGAAGCTTCCAACTTTCCCTGAAACTGTAAGTTTGGAATGTTAAAAGAAGTAATTTGAATTTACCTATTTATATCACATTTATATCCATTTATTTTTCAACAACCAAGGTGAATTCTTTAGATTATAGGTTTAATAATTGAGACAGTCTTGTAATAATGATTTATTATGCTGCTCCCAGAGTTACCTCCCCAACATTTTAGGCTTTCAGGGTTAACAAAGGCTGGGCTGTGTGTCTCTCTCTCAGAAAGCGCAAAACTTATTTTCTTGCATAAAACTTTGAACATCAGGCAAAGACCATTACAAAAAACAGTGAGAAGGCTAAAATAGTTAATGCTATCAATGATTTGGAAAAAAAATAAATCTTGATTAACCTCTAAATGCTTTGTAAGTATTACAATGCTGGGATATGGTTTAAACAGAGCCATGCATTGTACAGAGCATTGTGCCAACTCTTCTCAGCCACATCTGTTTTGAGTAATGGTTTTAATGTAAACGAGACTCGAGATATTTCTGGTTAGGTTTCCTCACATCTTCTATCTTTGTCTAGCATCTCCAACTTCATGAACAATCTTCCCTCAGGTGGTTGTTACTGGTGTCCTTTATAAATTTTCAATTTTCATTATATGCACTGCCTGTAATAACTCCTAACTATGTAATAGTCCCTTGTATTATAATAGGCAGTGTTCTACATTATTTCTCAGAGATGAGTTCACTCTCCTCTCTCTTCCTTCTTCTGTGGTTTACAGCATTGGTACAGTGAACATGGGCATTCATGAATGTAGTTTGATACCATTCCACTGCTACATAGAAAGATCACAAACATGGACACATATTCCAGAACAAAGAATTATTATCAGCAAGTTGTGTTACTGTTTTTCTGAAAGATTAGTCCCTGGAGTGCGTTCGAGCAAGGTGTATGCCCACCTGCATTCAACATCTGCAGTAGCCCCTGCACCAAGTATCAGGCTGTTGCACAGCAGAGTTTGGTTTTAAAACCAGCCTCAGGGATGCCCTCTGTGGTTATCATAGAACTACAGCTCTGGTCTGTTGTGGCAGTAAGGACTTAAACCCAGTTTTCTATGTCCTCCCTGACTAAGTCTTCAAAAAATAGTGCAGACAAATATTTTGGCTTCATCAGTGGAGCTGATAGAATAGCATTTTACCCATGAACTCCAAGAAGCAAGGTGTTGCCAGGTACTACTGTGGTAATCCCAGATGAAATGTGGAACTACCAAAATAGATGATCTGGCAAGAGCTGACGAGTCCCAGTATCAAAAAGAAAATCATGTGAAAAAAAATATGAATACTCTATCAAATTCCATACAGTGCAGCACAAGGTCAGTTTGCCACTGCTATGCCATTTAGAAGGGAAAAAGCCAGCATTCTCCAGCTTTGACCAGTCCAATTGTAAAACTCTCCAAACGCTGCTTCCATTTTGTTCCTTGGGAGATGAGTGAGAGCAAACTCACTCTGTATTTTCAGTTCTCTCCTGATACCGTACTTGAGGGAAGGCCCTGGATTCCATATACTATTTTCCCTTCCTTCCTGTCCTCTCCCCCCACCCCAAATACCCTTTTAAACCACTATTTTTTTGGTTCAAACAACAAGGCTAAACAGGTGAAATTTTAAATAATGATTGAGGATTTTTTTTATTCATTTAAGTTTCAATATCATTACAGAAAATGTTATGGTACAGAGTTGTTTAACATTAGTTTTATTTCTTCGCTCATTTAATTTCCACACGAATGCTGGTAACACTAATATCTGTACAAGATCAGTCTTTGATTTTTTTAGCTTTTAGTTCTGTACATTTTTAAATGTATTGGTTAAAAAGGCTGTCAGCACTTAAGGAAGCAATTTTTTTTTGTTTGTTGAAATAAAAGGTATCCAGTTACTGCCCAAGAGTACTGAGCTGGGTGGCTGCTGGGACAGGAGAGCTCCCTGAATGCGCAGCGAGGTGAGGCGACCTCGGGGCTTCATTGGGTTCCCAGTGCAGCCACTCTGCTTTTGGCACTGTGCACATCAACACGAGATACAAGATAAAGAACAAGCAGAAGCTCTCTGTGAAGCGGTTATGAAGCATACTAATAAGGGAAATCCAAGTGTTGTCTACGCTAGTATAAATAAGCAGACAGCCTTGTTTTAAGAGCTTAAGTAGTTGTATCTTAAAGATGAGAAAAAACACAAGTTCTGCAGGCACCTACTGCTGTCTACTAAAAGCTACCGCTATCAGAACTAGCATTGAACACACAAAGCAATTGCAAGGAAAGGAAAAAGTTGCTTTGATATAATCAGAATAAATTTCTTTGTTAAGATTTGTTTTAAAGTTTTTTTTTTTTAAAAGGTATTTATTTAAATTCCATTTGAAATATAATTCAAGATCTTGACTATACTGATCAACTTTTATCCAAATCAGAAAAACTAGCTGTGCCGTTGCATATTACAGGATACAGTCAATGATATGTGGACATGCATCAAAGCTTCGTTCTTGCTGGTGACATCATAGCCTTCCAATGACCATGACATCCACCACCTCCCCCTTGTGAAGCTCCACATACTGCTCTGTCTTTGGAGGTAGCATCAACAGTCCATTGGCACTGCGCATACTCATCAGACGACTGCTCATCTGATTCCCTACAGGAGTGAGAGAAAAAATTCAGTTAAGATTTCAGTTAGTTTCAAATGCTGCAGCACACCTCTCAGGAAACAAGAGTTGTCCTCATGAAGATGTTCACGTTGCATCTTGCCCTTCCAAGGTCGATGGAAACAAAGAACTCTGCAGAGAATCAGTCAGCCTCTCATCATTCTGGCTCTCAAAGCTCCCATTCCTTTTGCTGACTGTTTTCCTACCCAGCCTTCCACATCATCTGTACCTCATATCTTGTCAGAGTAAGTTGCTATTTGCATACCTACTTCTGGACTAAAACCAGCACAATCTAAAATATTTTTAATATTCTGTTACAGACTTTAACTCTATTCTTCTCTCTGAATAGTCTTGTTTAGCATTAGTAGCTTAGCACTAGTAGCTAGATAGTTGAAGCCTTAGGCTGTAAGAGCTGACTGAGAGTATATTTTTGATAAAACTAATGCTGCTAACACAGAACTAGCTGAATCCAGCAGATGCAAGCAGAATAAAGATGATCAGAACCAACAAAAAAAAATTCCAAGGGAATGAGGTAACTTCAGAGGAAGGCCAGCCCAGAGAGAAAGAAAACCAATAATAAATCAAGAGACCACCGACCAGAATAAAGTGAGTGAACTTGGGGATTGGGTGCTGGATGGTATGAGTATAAATGGAGGGCATGATCTGGGGCAGGGGTTCTTCTTAGGGCACCCAGCTTGAGCCATAACCTGAGAACTAACAAAAGAGGAATTGGAAACCTTGACTTGGACTTCCATTTTTCAGTGGGATCCTAGGGTTGAACCCTGATATGGTGCCTGGCTGTGTAAATCCATAACATATACCACCCCAAAAGAATGGGTTTCTTTAGGACACTGAGTTTCACAACGTCCTGAAGATAAACAGTATGATATTGGTAGTACTGACAAAAAATGAAAATGCAGTAAGTCATGCCCTTTAGTTTCTTGGTTTTCAAACTTCCAGACTGACATAAATAATTCCAGACAGTTTGCTTGTATAAGGAAAGAAGGGGTGCACAACAAAACAGAGTTAAACCAAATAGAGCATTGTAGATGTAAGTAATAGCTTGACCTGGAAGTATGTCAGAGGCTGTGTGATCCTCAGAGTCCACAGTAAGAACTTCCTCGGAGCCAACAGTAAGATGCATTTAACCTAACGTTTTCCCTGTGAAGACTTGTACACAGTGCTTTGTATCAAACAATTTGGACGCCGTAAAAAGACAATTAGTTGTTTAAGGATCTGAATCCCTTGAGAAACTGTCAGAGTCAGTCTTCTAGCACTATTCAAATATTATATTTAAATCCAGTATTTGCCTCAACTGACGCCGAGTATCCAGAAGTATCCCTCGGTGGCAAACATGACCAATAAAAGTCTTAGTCTGCTTCAAGAGAACACACACGGCCTCTGATATCTCTTCTACTCTTGCAGTTCAGCTAGGATCACTCTTCTTTTATTTGCATTATTCCCACCTATGTCCCAACTTGTATTTGTTTAGTAGATGGACAAGAGCAGAAGTAAGCAAATGTGACTGTGAATTCAAATAAGCATGAGTGGTTGTTTACAAAAAGGGGGAAAAAAAAAAAAACCCAAACCAGTTGTTTTCAGACTTAGGTGGAGGAAGGCAAGGACCTGTGTGTTTGTGTGTCAGTCTGTGTGACTGGGCACTAACCTGTACTCTGTGCCCAAGGTAGTGGTTCTTGGTGATGCCAAGTCAGTATGCACCGATGATATTCTGGGCGGGGGTCCAATTTTACATCACATGATAACTGTAGAAGAAGCAAAGAAAGGATGAGACTGTCATGCATTCAGATTGCACTGTCTGTCCAGGATAACAGAATCATCTGCCCAACTGTTTTTCCTTACAACCAGTCTTTTTGAGAACTCTTATTTTGAGGTCAGATGGTATCAAGTGCAAGATCAGAAGCTGCAGAAAGTAGAGACTGAAGGATTTGAGGGAAATACAGCCATGATATTACAATATCAAAGAGTCTACATGCATTAAGTAGAAAATTCCAAAGCTGTTCCTTTTTTGGGAATTTACAGACAGTATTTCTCTGGAAAAAAATCTGTATTGTTTCTGGTCTGTATATTACACTGCATAAAGGAAAAAAAAATCATTTGCATTCAAAATACTGTTAGCCCTGACAAAAGGGAAATGGACAATCTTTGAAATAAAAAGCAATACAGGGGATGGCTCACAATGGAATTTAATGGAACACATTGGAAAACCCGTGCAAAAATGAGGGTAACTACCAATTGCTCTCTGTTTAGGAACATCTTAGCTGTGAGATGAAGAAGAACCTGGATGCTGTGGAAGTGTGAAAGAGACACAGGGTAAGCAGTAGGAGAAAAGTGCATATCCAAGTACACTAGGAAAACTATAAAAGGTAAAGTGTTCCTTGGTACTTTATCTGAATCAAAAATAGAAGGATAATACATCATAATAATATGCTTTGAATCCATATTAAACCAAGTTACAATATTGATGATTTCATAAGAGTGAAATGAATAGTTTAAGGGATTTATACTGCTTAGAGTGGGGGTCATGTGGTTACTTATATAAATAACTCAAGAAGAGAAAGGCTTTGAAGTTTGTATTTTCTATGGCTCATACAGAACTACCCAACTCTTTAGGTATTCCCAGATTAATCTGCATTTTTTACCACCAGTTAAAAATATTATTTTCACACAGGAAGGCATCATTCCTGCCTGACTGGCATGCGGCAGCCTCTGTACTTGTGTATCTTGCTCTATTAGATGGCCATCTAACTGTTAGAAATTACAGGCTGCATATCACTATTAACAGAGATTGAGAAGGTACCTCTGTTTTGTGTGAACTGCCTTCAACTTGCCAGAATTAGTCAGATTCCCCAAACAAGACAGCCGTTCAAAGCCCAGAGAGCTGTGCTTCAACATCTTGAGAGAATTTTGAAATAGAGGACAGCCTTCTTACCCTGGCTTTGATGATGGTGGGCCGAGGATCCAGGATACCCTGCATTTTCCTCAGTGCAGGAACAACGAAGAGATTGCAGGTGACAACAGCAGACACAGGGTTGCCTGTAGGACAAAGATCAGTTGGTGGTGACTCCCTCTTGATTTACTCTGTGGAATGCTGAAAATGATCTCATGTTTTTATAGCAATTGCACTGTAAAGGACTCTAAAGATCTCTTCATGCTATGTACAGGAAACACTTCATTCAAGTGTGGAGTGGCATGTGGTAACCACACATGCTGAAAGCCACACTCTCTGGCTCATGGTGTGCTGGAATCTTGCTCTGACTGAACAGCCCCATGTTCTCAGGCCCCACCTCTTTGCCTCTGTTCCTCTGTTGCCCTTTGTCTTACACTGGGATTTGTCTGGGGCTGAGGCAGGATTTATTGTGCACAGGTACAGGTCCTAGCTCGCAGGGTTTTTGATTTGTGATTAAGGTTTCTGAGACCTGTGGAAAAATAACTTTCAATTCCCTAACCGAGTGGCAAAATGCTTTAGGCAAAATTCTGAGAAGTCTACTGATTTATAAATTTTCTGTTGACTCAAGAGAGGTGTATGACCAGTGTCTGCCAAACACCACTTGTCTTACACATCTGGACTTCCCTAGATGACTGTTCTAGAATAAATACTGTGATCAGAGAGATGCTCCATTGATTTCTCTCCTGGAAAAAAAGGTACTGCAGCAACTAAAATGTCAGACAGAAGAAGCACTAGAGATACATCTGAAAACCATCAGCTTCTCAAGGATTCTTTGTGTAGTCAGAAATTCACACAATACCAGAGCAGAAAGAATAAAATAAATTGCCCCTGATTTGGGAGGGGAGAGATTTATAGGCAGGCCCCTCAGGAAATGTGTGCTGTGGAGGCAGCTTTGGCAGGTGAGGCCACAGGCAGGTGGTGAGGAGCGGCTGCCCTCTCCCGGCTCCCGTCGGCATAAAAAAGCATGTTCTGTCACCTGCTCCTTGGCACTCCCTCGGGTTTGTCCCCATTCCCAATACTGCCGAGTGGGTGCAGTCTTAGGTGCACAGAAAGCTTCCTGTGAAGGTGGGTGGGGCTGTAGGAAAGCCCACCTCTGTATACTACCGCTTACAAAACCCAGGGAAATTGTTGGATGGAAGAAATCCTAAGGACTGTACACCAGCAAATTCTGAGGACAGGAACAAGAAATATCTCCTTAGTATATCCCTGCAAGTCCATCTCTTCTGGGAATTTCTGGGAAACCTTTACAGGCACTTTCCTTAGGGACACCAGCAGCAGACAGAGGTGCTGTGAAGTGTCACTGTTCTGTTTCACCTATGCACAACAACAACAGTAATCCACAAAACTTCTTACCTGGCAGCGCAAAGATTATTTTTCTTACGCCATCGATATCCAGAGTTGCAAAAGTTGTTGGTAGGCTATGGAAAAGGAAAGGTACTTAATATCTGCACTACACTTTCTGTGAACATTATTATTTAAAACAGTTGGAAAAGAAAACAAAACTGGATCTCTCTCTCAGCAGTTTGTTAGCACCTGCTGCTTATGCCATACTGAGGGTATAATCCTCCCTTTGTAATGACAGAACAATTAGATTTTTCTTGGTATTCAGCTATGAAGTTTTAAGTAGCTGATTTTGCTTCTGGCAGGAAACATGGAAGAGCAGACAAACTAGTAATGAAAAATCTAATTTCTGTCTTCATGCTTGAAGCAAATTAACAAAGAAGCAATACTGATATTATGCAGTTATAGAGCTGTATTTGTTTTTCATATAAGGGTCTCAACATTTTTTGTAACGTTAGAGACTCTAACTTCCCTTACTCCACTGTCTACAGCAGTTGTGGCATCAGAGCAGTATTTCAGAGCAGCAAATGTTACCTAGTCTGCAGATGAACAAATTTAGATACACAGGCAGTGCTGCTGTCAGGTAAGACCGAGGTCTATCAGAGAAGAGCTCTCTGAGTTCAGAGCTGCTTCTGAGTGATCTTTAGTGACTTGTTACCCAGTCTATTACAGTTACACACACAGGACAGTAATGTGATGGCTCAAGAATGTGGCTGGCAAAGGGACGACTCTGTTCAAAAAAGTTTTCTATATACCTATGTTAATATCATCTTTTTAAACATTAGAAAGGATACTTTACAGAAGCAATAATTAGGCTGAGTTCCTTGGCTTCATCTTGAGCTAAAAACTCACCTGGTCAGCAGATGATAGCTGCTGCCCAGCAGCAGCTTTGGAGATTTGCCACACTTTGATCATTACTACTTAGCTTTGTATCTGCTAGGACTAATCAATATCCTATTTTACCAGGGGAAGTTTCTGTTTTAAAATGTCTCTAAGATTATGGGATCTATGTGCCAGACCTCCAAATCTTGTCACCAGTGCACAAACCGAGGTACAAATAATCTAGTTGCTAATTCATATTTACTGGAAATTTGGAATTCTTATATGAGATTTCAACACCATCATTGCTAAAGTCTTCCAGTACTTTCTTCTGGCAGTGCTGCTAGACAAGGTACAACCTTACATCAGTTGGCTCAGCACAGGCATCACTCTGTAGTCATGTAGCACACCAAAATACAGGCCAATAAAGCAAACTCTGGCTCACTTTTAGAACTTACTCAAGGAATTTTTTCCTTATATAGTAACCAAAATTCATATCTAAGGCTTTTAAAGACAGAGTTAATAAAAACTAAGACACAGTATTTGCTATTGCACTACAGCCAATGGAAATGAGAGTGCTTGCATTCTCAGTAAGTTCAGATGACCAAATATTTTTGTAGCAGTAAAAAACATCTTTTTTATAGCATAAAATGCAAAAAGATTTTTTTTGGAAAATAACATTCCTTAAAGTTTTTCTGGATACTTATTAAAAGTTTATTGCTACAAGTCTATGGAGGGATCTCCAGAAGAAAGGATTACATTCGCTTTCAGATAAGCCAGAATCAGAACTTAATAATTCTCTACATCAGGTTATCCATTCTTGTCAGCAGCAGACACTGGAGTGCAGATCTGACTTTGGGGAATTCCCCACATAGGCTATAGCAGCATGACAGAAGCAGTGAGCAATTTCCATGCCTGGGCTACATCCCACAAGGGATTAAACATACTTTCAGATCACTTGTTCCTTTAATGAAAGGGAGGTGGTGGGAGCTGCAGCACAAGCGCCAAAGCCATACGCAGTTCTTTGCTGGACTGTAGGCAGAGGCAGAAGTTATTTGTTGTTTTCACAGGAAACACCCACTTTCTGCTCTGCTCCCTGGCAACAGTTAGGGGCTAGAAGGAATCAGTCCTACAAGCTGCACTTGGCCTTGTGTTACAGGTCCATGCCAACCCAGCTTGCAAACAAACTGCATTCCATGGTTAGTGAGGCAGAGCTGAAGACATCTTTGTGCTACTGTACTGTGAAAGGGAACTTTCTATTTTCAATACATGTAGTTTTCATTTTCTCTACAAAGCATACTTCCAGACTCATTAATTAGCAGTGCTACAGCAAAGGAAAGCAATCTTGAAGTTTTCTGAGGAAAACTAAACACATAAAGGATTGTGTTTACTTTAAAATTACTATGCTTAATATGGCAATTAGCTTAAAACTTTGTAAATTAGCCATCGTTCCACCTCTCTCAAGAAATTGCTTGTTACAGGAATATGACTTATGCAAATTCTGAAGTGAGATGCTTATTAAGCAAACCAGTGGTTAAATGTCTGTGTATTTCCCAGCTATTTCCTAACAGTGTCAATAACTAAGCTCTGTGATCACAGTGAAAGCTTTGGCCATGTTTATACCGAGCTGCTTCCCCCTAGCCCCAAAATCTGATTTGCAACAGTTATCAGAGAAATATCTCTTACTGATAAAAAGTAATCTCTCTGTTCCAGTTAATTTCACCCATAAAGATGGTGACTAATCTGAATAGCACTGAATAGCTTTTTTTCACATCTGCCGTGTGGTTTATAGTATACTTGGAAAACTGAAAATCTACTGAAGCAATTATATAGGATATTTGGCCCAATATAGCCTCCACCTATGCTGCCTAAGTAGAAAGATTTCTTACCCTGGTTTCATAAAAACTCTGCCAAAGTGAATCTGTGCGTGAAGATCAATATCCAGCACCTGTTTAAGATAGTCCTGTTTAAATTCAAAAAGAAAATCGATTAAATAACATCAAAGTGGCTTACATCATCCAAGCATTCAAAGCAATTAATTAACATCAAGTGAGGATGAAAGACTTTTCATATCTCGAAAGTGCTACAGTCCAGTGGGGAATTTCCAGTATTTGAAAGGAAGTATTTTCAAAAGGAAAAGGTGAAGAAATGACTCATTTTAGGTGCCAAACCTGACTCCACGAGGACATAGTAACATATTTACTTAAGTGTCAGCTGCAGTATCAGAATCTTAGAGGACCCCACAAATACCTACAAGTAAAACATTCTCTATGTCAAAGACTGAAAAAATCCTTTATGGTTCAAAGTTAAGACTTAAAATCATCCAGTTATCTAACTTTTGCCATGGAAGCTATCTAGCAGTAAAGTCAGAGATCTCCTAGGACTTTTGAAATCAATACTGTACTGTAGAAATCATAGTTTTCCAGGATACTGTAATTATTGTAATTTTTGGGGACACAGTCTAATTCACAGTGGTTGAGTTTAACAGCCCTTAGAAAGGAAAAACTGTGTGTGGCTTGTGCCGTAGCTCAAGTTAAATAATTTTGCCTAAACACAGTCGATGCAGTTATTGGAACAAATTGAACTACTCGTTTAGTCTTTATCGAAAACTGCTGTGCTCAAAGATGTAGTGTCCTGTCTGTTGTGTTTACCGAGATTAGGGACACAGGATGGAACAGTCATCTGTGAAGAGAGACTTTGGAAGCAGTAAATCTGAAGCTCTCTTGCAGGGTTGTTTGGATTTTTTTTGGTGTGTGTTCAAATACTTGGGATGCAGGAACTTTTTTCGGCCAGGCATGAATTCTCAATTATTGATTGCATTAACCCCATTTTTACTTTCCGTTTATTTTTTTTTGGATGCTCACAGTTATTTCATTAAAACTGTTGAAAGCTCAGCATCAGAGGGCTACCCATCAGTGGAATACAGAGCCTACTGACTTTATGCTGTTGCCTTAAATTCAGACTGGGGGAAATGAGCCAGAAGGCATAAATGGCTGCAGTTCAGCAGTCCAGCAGCTTCCTCGTGTTCCTGTGTCTGCACTATGTTGCCATGTTCCCAATCTAATTACCCTCACTTGTCCTTAATTATTTTTCTAGGAATACTGTGGACAATAACAGCATTGAAAGTAATCGGCACTGGTTTAACTTGTTATCCATTTTCATGATGTATCCAACAATATGATTTCTACTCAGAAAAGTGACAAAAACAGCACTCATGTTTGCCACCTCCTAATGACTGTCTTTAGTATCTGTTAGTTATAAAAGGAGAGATGTTTCTTTTACCTGCCAAACTCACAGATTCAGCCTGGGATCAAAAAGTAATCTGAGTTTTCCTTCGCATAAGTCATGATTAATAAATGTCCTGCAGGTTCATCTACGCCCCACCAGCATCTGTGTATCCCTATTTTCTTTGATGGTTTTGGCACAGGGATTACCAACAGGAACTCAATCAACAATTCTGTTAATGATTCAAAAGGCAAATATATCAGCTCACTGTGTCTTCTATGTATTGCCTCTGTAGGACTATCAGGTGCAAAATCTGATAAAACTATTTTTGTAACAGATACAGCTTTGGCATATTCAGGGAACAGATCTGCTGAGTAAGAAAGAAGTATTCATACACTCAGGTTGTTTTTTGAAGTACTTTCAAAGTAGCTTTATTTCATCTACATTTTACCTGCTCTAAGAATAAAACCAAGTTTGTTGCCTTCATGTGCTATTAACCAAGAACCTTCCTCATCACAACTACAGAAATCATTCCTTAAATAAAAACACATTTGCAAATCACTTGCATCAAGAATTAGAACCTTTCCTGCTGTACTATGTCTACTATAGAACAGTAATAAAAACAAAGGGACTGAGGATAGGATTGAAGACTATTTTCCTAGTTAATACACGTTTAAGTGTTCCAAAAAGAGTAAGATCCCTTTTTGATAAACATTAATACAAAAGTAGAAGTTCTGACAACAGACTCTTGCTTGAAATTCTTACATGTATTGTAGCAAGTCATATGTAAATTTAGCATACCTTTTCCCCCATAGATACACCTCCTGATGTAATGATCACATCAGCACGGCTGATACCCTCATTCAGTGCATTCAGTAAATCATCTGGGCTACAGAAAAGAACAGCAAGCAGATTAGTGGCACGGAACCATTATGAGTTGTAGTGTAGTAAGTGCCTTGTGTGCACACATACAGCTGTAGATAGACACAGGCGTTTTAAGAAAGAGATACAGCAATCTTTTCCTTCTAGAGACTCCACACTGCTCTCTTCCAGTCAAGAGACACAACCCCATGAAGTGAACACCACGCCGTTTGGCACCTTTCTTTCTAAGAGCTCTGAAGCAGGAACAGTGGGGTACTTCAAGCTGGGACTGAAGGACACTAATACAAGAGTCTAAAAGTATGCAATTTGCATTGTAGGTAGCAATAAAAATTATGATTTAGATGAACTGGCAGGGCTACATTAAGGGACCTGACATATGGAAATTACTGGCCACCAAGCAGGCTGCGGTACTACCTACATTTGATGTGTGCAAAAATGGGGGTAAAGCTCCCCTTCAAACTTTCATTTCAGTGAAAACTGGGAGTAAATCCTTTATCTTCTCCATTAGAGGGCTCTGCAGCAAAGCCAGCTGTACATTACTTCATCTGAAAAATATGATCCATCCTGTTCAAGTATCTTTTTACCTCCATGAGAAACAGTGTAAGGATAGCTGTGATATTCCTCTGTACACAGAGCATAACTGTGAAGGCGAAGGACAGAAGCTGAGTATATCTCAGATATTCCTTCTAAGATGTTCCTTCTTAGAATGCAATTGAACAAATGATGCTTGTGACTGTGTAAAGAGCTTTGCCTGGAACACAGCACCTCAGTTAAATACCACACTACAATTATAAAATGCCATTATGGGTTATCAAGGCTTTGCAGGCTGCACATGGCATGTGGCCTTTCCTTTAGCAACTCTGGCTATGTTTCACTAAAAGATATAATCACTGCAGTTATTTTGGGGTTTAAACTGGAAACAGGAAAATTAGAAATACAATGCATGTCCTGGTTGACCTCTCAGAAACTAACAAAAATTGTGTTTCCAAAGGTCTCAGAAAGAAAAATCCTTTCCTCTGAGCATCCTTTGCCCACAGTTTAGTGAAACAAGCAGCAGTTAGGATTACGTGGTGTTGTGTGCACTATAATTCATGTAACAAGACTGTGCTCCCTCACTGAGTACATCTCTCAGGTGTATGCAGCCCTGCACAGTCCTCATCTCCTCTCCAGAGAGCCCTGAAGTGTCCTTTACCCTGGTTATGCCTTTCACAGACAGAGAGACTCTAGACCCTTTCCTCTACGACGTCCAGTGACTGATGCAGCATCTTCTTTGGCACCACAGTATGGTTATCCTACAAAACTTTTCTATTTGTGTTGGGCTACGTCCACCCTATAAGGTCATACTGCTTTGTAAGATGTAGACAATACACTACAGCAGAAAGAAAGGCAGATTGCTGGTGCCATAGTGTAGGCTGTGATCAATCAGATTTAATTATATGCTACCATTTTTTGAAAGGGAAACAATGACTGCACATATTCTGGCATGCCTCCATGACTTCTGTTTAGGGTACTGGGTATCCTGGATACTCTAAATGGCCCATAATGAAGAGCTGAACTCTGTTTTCTTTGGGAAGAAATACAGAACATACAGACTCAAGCAAAATCATCTCCTTATTTGTTTTTTTTTAGCAAACAGAGCTGTTTTCTTAGCTGCCCCTTCTAAAACCTCAGGATCATTTTATCAAAAAATTGGCACAAGTCTTCACTAGCTGTTGAAGGCAAGAGGAAAGAAGCAAGTTTGATGTTGGTTACCATCACTGTCTTCCTCAGAACCAATTGTTTTGTATTGTTGGCCTAAGTAGAAATCTATGTAGTAAGGTACTGCTTAAGACTATTACAGAGCTTGTAATAGGAAGTCTCTCAAGATCTAAGTATTCCTTCATCCTTGCCAATGAGGGTGCAGACTGGAATGCAGGAAGGAACACATATTCCTTACACAGGTTGATGTGGACCTTCCTAAAGCTCAATGACAGTCAGACACTTATGCCACTATTACTAGGCTAAGATTGATTTCAGTTATATTTTTTCTCATTAGGTTGTGATGAAGCTGAGGATCATAGCTGCAGCTTGCTCCAGGCTATTTCATTTTATCTTGCTTAATTATTTAACAGTTATTCATAGGTAGCAAGACCACCTGTCTGGGGACATCCTAATTTTGGATTATGAAGTGTGCTTGCTTTTGGCTGTGGTCTGAGAATAATGGAAGGAACAGTAGAAAGCAAATGAGTCTACATTTAACTGTTGTTAAATAGAATGGAAGTGCTCCTACTTACATACCAAATATATCTACGTGTGTGTATATATATAAAATTACTTAACAAAAGGAAAAAAAACAACAACCCCAAATAAGCCCAAACTCAAACAGGATGAGGACTCATTTTGCACCTTTGTTTATGAGCGTGGCATACCACTGGAATAGTTCATTGTACAGTTTACTACATGCCATATAAAAAATTGAAGGTTACTGGACTTAGTGCTTTTTTTTTTTAGCAGTTCCAATAGAATGACCTGTATCATATGTCCCTTCCTTTATCATCTCTATAATGCAAAAAAATTTAAAATTCTACCACAAAACCTTATCTAACCAACACCACTGTATATCATCTTTAGATAGTTGCAAAATGCATTGAATTCTTCCAAAATGAAAGACACCATAGAAATGTAATTGTAATAAACAGAATGATTATGCTAATTTGTTTTTTATTCTGAAGAAAGGAGACGTTTACAGAATTCCCTCCTTTGCCTTTGCAGAAGAATTCTCACTTTTTGCCATATTTGGCATATTTTTTTTTCCCTCAGGTCTAACTTTCTATCCTACTTGAGGCTGGTACTTCCATGTCTCTGCAATTAACATAAAACACTCCTTACAGGGGTCACCTGCTGTAATCTTCAATCAACACTGTGGCAAGCAATGTCCTTGTCTTCAGTGGATTTAATGCAGAGTTATCATTCAAGCTACATATTAACACCTATTTGATATAATTGCATAACAAGATACTCCTCCTCGCTTCATTTGTTGTATAACAATGAGCAGCTTCTTTAGATTGACATGGAAAGGGAATAAATAAATGAAGACTATTAACTGCTGAAAGAACAGACAAAATAACTTTGGTCTCTCAGCATAACAGGACAAGATTGTTCTAAAAGGCCTGTGACAAATCACCATGGAGCTGAGAAATAACACTCATTGTCTGAACAGGTACAAATCAGAAGCTGAAGCCCTGGCCTTTGCTAGGGGCAGGACACTGGATTAGCAAGACTAATGGTCTAATTTACTATGATAAATCCTTTAAAATGTCTTGTGAAAGTGCTATTCTTGGAGGTTTTCTTTCCTTCATGGACAGAACTGTAACAAGTGCTGAAATATAATGGTGAATACCTTAATCACAGTAAAGTAGATTTTGATGGGAACTCTCATTTCCAGATGGCAAAACTATTCTGTTTCATTTGGTGATTTTCAAAGTCAGAGTGACATTGTGCACAAGAAGGGAGTGTGCTTTTCTAACATGCTGCAGTTGATTAAAAAAATTACACTGTCTGTATGTTTCAGATCACATCCCAGTACCTTCTGTAAATAGACTAAGAAAATTTCTTCTATAAGGTTCACATACAGTTTACAAAACTATTCATATAGGTAAGTAAGCACAAATCCAAACTCTCAACAGTAAAAATCCCCATGTACAGCAGATTGTCTGCACAAATATTATGTATACTGTACATGCATTTTTGAAGCTGCAGACATAATGCCTTTTACTTTTAAGTATATCTTTATATTCTCTGCTGATTTTGCCAGTCTGATAAGCAAGAGTATCTACCTTACTAACTCAATTTCCTGACCTTCTTTATTCAGTTTTATGGAGCATAATGAGCAGTACAATCTGGAAATTATTTGGAAGCTTTCTGTTGTATAGTGGCAGCAGCGTGTGTAAAAACCAGCAGGCAGATACATGATGCTGCAGCTGACATGCCACTTGCTTCCATTGATTTGAAGAGAGGCCTTGCAGGAAGGCAGTATACCAGAACAGGAACACATTCTGGATTCATGAAAAATTCTGATTATCAAAGCGAGTTAGTGGATAACTGCTACGCAGCACTCGATTGCTGAGCTGTCTTTGAACTGAAGATACACAGGCACTTAGGAGCTTGAACAAGAAAATGATGCAAGCCTCATTAAAAGAGACATCTAGAAGAATTTTTCCTTTGTCTCTCTCAAAAGAAAGAGCTACAGTACAGTCAAGACCAAAGAATTCTCTGTTTTAAATGCCATTTTGAAGTACCCTAAATTACAGTGTGATTTTCTCTTTCAAATAGAAATCAACATCTTAATTCACTTCTGTTGATCCTATTGTTGTGCTTCACTGCCACTAATTATAAATCTGTCAGCCTTTTCTGTGATACAACCCTTAACACCAGCAGCTTGATACATGCAATTAAACTGCTCAGTTTATAATTTAATTTAGAAAACAAGTAACAACAAGTGCTGATCTAAATCACCTACAGCTCTGCAGTAAAATGAGGGATCCCTGTGAAATCAAACAGGAACATTTAGTTAGGACTGACTTATCAAGCCACTGTCACAGTAAAAAATCCATAGTTCATGACTAATTTCCAGGATCATTTCCACCAAGTTCTTTGCTGCAGCAGTCTCATTCATTCAAATTAACCTCATTACCTGGCAGTCATTTCCAGTCCTTGTTGTTCATTACTGCTGGGTAACTAATAGGCAATGCTTGTGATTGTTGCACTCTCGTATGCATCATCCCCGGTCTTCTATAAGCCCAGGTCTTCTGGAAACCAGTACTTCCAAGATTTGTGCATGCAAACCATCACAGTGAGCACCTTAAACCTGTGTGCTTTACAGATATATACAGACACAAAAAGACATGCATACACCCTAATACACCAGATGCATGCAGGAGTGGCCACTGTGAGAACAAAAGCAGAGCTGGGTAACCTTTCTTGGCTACTGCTATATTTGATTTCAAAGCATTGCAATTATTTCAGTTA